CCAGCATTAACTATGTGTAAGGCAGTGTTTCTGCTAGGATGGAGTAATGAAGAGTTTGTTCACATTAGTGTTTCTATCTTTTCCAGCATTAACTATGTGTAGGGCAGTGTTTCTGCTAGGATGGGGTAATGAATAGTTTGTTCACATTAGTGTTTCTATCTTTTCCAGCATTAAATACGTGTAGATTTTTCCAGAAATGAAAAACTGTTCAAGTATACAGTCAGTAAGATTATTATCCTTCGGTGGATCAGCAGTAAGTTTACAGACTTACAACAATAAAATCTGTGTTCTGATTCCCTGCGGTGGACACAGCAGATAGCCCAATGTGGCTTTGCTCTAAAATAAACAAACAAACAGTAAGATTATTCATGACTAAATGAACAGTTAACTTTTATTTTTGTAAATCCTCTGAATAAAAGCTGCTACCAAATTACATACATTTAGTATTTTACATGTAAAATTTTTATAAAACATGGAATTTGTGTTTTAGTATTACATGAAAATACTGCTACAACATGGAATTTGTGTTTTAGTATTACATAAAAATACTGCTACAACATGGGATTTACATTTGAGTACCTTACATGCTTTGTATGTTTGTATGTCCATCTAACTCATCCCAAAGTTCTGGAGCTAACAGGACCAAACTTGGCAGGTGAACTCGGTATCCCAGGGAGTTTTCTTAGCTATATGGCATAGCCTTCCTACCTAGGAAGGCTAAAATAGCCCTATAAGGCCATCCAGGCATCATTGGGATCCAATAGCAGATTTTCAGGGTTGCTTAATGTGGAACTGTTATTATATTTTGTGTTTCTAGCTTCCTTTGGGATTCCATGGGTTGTTATTTTGAAAATGTATTCATGTTCCCACTTACAAGTTAACAAGACTAAACATGTCATGCTTGCTCAGGTACTATTGGTGAGTGTTTTTAGAAAGTTTTCTAGAGTACAGGCCTACCTTAGGATAGCTATAAATGTAATTTGAGATAATTGAGGAGCTTGCTCTGTATGATGGGGCCTCTATGAATCATGAGGTTGCCTTTTAACCCTGCAATAGAATGTGGGAGTTTATGCAAGTGCTTTGAACTCCCTGCTCAATTTTCTGGGTTACCACTTTTCAGTTTATAAAGGGATAAAGGTTTATGCCAAACTGTTGGAAGCAGTAATGAAAAAGTCATTGTATTTTTCTAAATATTCAAAGAAAAAACTGACACACAGGTTTTTTAAACATTGGCAAATTAACATGTGCACATGTATGAGTATTACATGAATTTTGATAGATGTCAGTGTGATCATTATGTTAAACAGAATATGCAACAGAAACTTGTTGGTTTGTAGTAATCTTATTTATTGTGTGTTTTTCATTCTTCCAGAAACATGTTAAGGGTCACAAAGAATGCCATGCTAGATTCTACAGATGACACTGGAAACAACAACACTTACCTGGGACGGCAAGGCAAAGACTTCCAATTTGCTGACCTTAAACCAGTATTTGTAGAGTTTGCAGAAAGCATTGCCAGAGAATCGGTGAATAATGAAATCTATATTAAAGCTGTTTCAGAATGGCTTTGCAAAATTGCTTAACTCATCATTGTTATTGCTTTCAATTGAAATTTCAGTAAAGATAAAAACTTTATTGTGAATCTAATGTGAAATTAATGATAAATCCTAACTGCTCGTTTTGTTTTTCAAGAAAGTCCTCTTTAAGATTTACATTCTGTCTAAAGTTTCAGATATCTATTTTTTCATTTGCCTAATTGGAGCTAGAATGATTCACTTGAATATAAAGATTCTGTAAAAGACCGAGGATGATTAAATGGAGAATCTGCCTACAAGGGACAATTAAATTTCAAATGTATGGAAAGTGCAGTTTTTTATATTAAACATGTTGTCTAGAGAGTACACTTTCATTACTTGTAATAACATGAACAAATTTACAGAAGAGATGTTTGTTTTTAAGCAATTAAAATTATGATGTTTCAGCCCATAGAAGAGGGCCACCTTCAGGCTTGAAGATGGCTCATCATTAGCTGAGATGTTGGAGTTTTAATTACTTTAAAAATTTCCACGGTAAAGTTGTTCATGATAT